CCCCCCCCAGCCTCCCCCACCTCCCAGCTCCAGGATCTGGCTCTGCGTGCGGGGCTGGCAGGTCAATTAGAAGTCAGCTCCCTCCAACACAGCCCGGCCTGCGTTCAGGGCTGGTGCTCTGGCTGAACCTCCCTGCTTTGTCTCCATCCTGAGTCTCATGTGGTGGGGACCAAGCCTCATGTTCTGTCCATCTCTGGCCCTGTCTCTGAATCTCTCTTTAAATCTTCCATTTTTCTGTCTTTCCTCAGGGACTACCCTCTCCCAGCCCCCCAGGTCCTGGGACATGCTGAGCTCAGGAACCGAGGACGTGATATGTCATTGAACAGGTGCTGCAGGCAGAACACTGTGGTTTCTCAGCCACAGCAACTGAAGGTGGGGAGTACACAAGGGGAACTGGCATGCAGGCTCACTATCTTCAAACCCCAGAGTGGGCAGACACCAACACTTAGTCCCCAAGTCCTGGTCCCTAAGATGTTCCAAATCTGCCCCTCTACCTGGCTCATCCCCTCCTTCAGACCCTGGAAAAAGCTGATGCCCTGGTCTCAGTGGACCCCTGACCACAGGGCCCGTTTGCTCTACTCATGGAACAGGAGGACATAAGAGAAGGCCATCTCCCAGGCCCCAGCCTTCTACTGCAGGGCACACAGCAACCCTTCCCAGGCCAGGAAGGGCCTGGCAGTGCCAAGGCAGCAGGGGAGGAGCTGGGGCTGCGTTGAAGCGGAGCGGGAATGAGCGGGAGGGAAAGCTGGCGGGCAGGCGGGCGGCGGCGGGCGCATCCATCATCGGCCCTGCCAGGAACGCATCCAGCCCCCAAAAAGAAATACTGCGCCTGAGGAGGGACAACAAAGGGCTCCGTTTCATCAGCAATGTGGAGCCAGCGCCCCGCCGCCCCGCCAGGCGCGGTCAGCCCACAAAGGACCCCTTTGTCCATGCAGGAGCCGGGCCGGCCAGGAGCTGGGACCAGGGGCTGACGGGCGGGACAGAGCCCAAGGGGGGTGCAGGGGGGTGGGGGAGATCAGTCTTAGAGAGCTGGGGGGCAAAGGGGAACATGGGGGCCGAAGAACAGAGACAGGTGGTGGGGACAGAGGATCATGAGACAGAGAACTGAGGGGTGGGTCAGAGAAAGGAGGGCTTGAGAGGACACGGCACATGGTAGAGGCTAGAGGACACAGCATCACAGAAAGCAGAGGAGGAGTGGCCAGGCTCAGAGACCCAGCGCACCAACCCGGGTCTGAGCGACATAGAGGCAGAGCCCTGAGGAGAGAATCCCAGACTTGGGGACCTGGGGACCAAGAGAAAGCAGGTGGTCATACCCATGGGAGAGGAAGGTAGAGGGGGAGGTTTGGGGGAGACCAGATGAGATCCACCTCCCTAGGGCCCCAGCCCGCTCTGGCCGGAGGCCTCAGGGCTTGGCCATGGGGACCAATCTCTTGTGGGTTCAAGTTCACTCGCTGGGCTGGGAAGAGAGAGTCAAAGCTGGGGCCACTCTCCTGTCAGTGGGGCCACCCCTTGTCTGTAACCCCAGACCCTGGTCAGCCCCAGAAGGCATAGACTCTGCCTTTCTCCACCCAGCCCCCTTAGTGACACAAAGGCTCCCTTAACTAACCAACCCTATCAGCTAGCACTTACTGAGCACTTACTGTGTCCCAGGCCCTGTGCTCTTATGTTTTACATTCTTCTCTCCCTCCCTGACTCCTTTCCAGAACCTGGGAAATAGGAACTTTTAACCAATTTTAGAGATGAGGAAATTAAGGCTCAGAGAGATTCGAGCTGTCAGGACAAGGTCAAACAGCTGGTGCTGTTTGGGGTAGAACTCGAACCCAGAGCTCAAGTGTCAGTTGCCACCCTGCTCTGGTGACTGCCTTTGCTCACCTGGGCAATTGACAAGAGTCGTCCAGAGCAAGGTGACCCAGCTACCCCGAGACTGCCTCCATCTCCCAGAGTTGTTACCGTGCCTGTCACCTTTACGTGGTCAGGGGGTGAGCTGTCACAGACCCCCAGGGGAGTACCCCCACCTGGGGGGCTTGGAAATACCCAGGCAGGAACCCAGAATGCTGGGCCAGTGACAACATAATGCCAGCTGACAATGAGGTCACCGGAGGTGGTAGCTGTACCTTCACCCCACCCTCAGCCCCAGAGGAACCAGGATTCATCCCCAATAGAGCTCTGTCTTAAGCTTCTCCAGCCAAACAGCAGGGGGTGGGGCACGGGGGCACCGTGGCGAGGGATGGTACTGTCTGCATGTAGACGTGCACGCAGGTGGCCCCCAGTGAGACGTTCCAGTGCTCAGTTACACACAGCCCCCAACCGACCCAATAGCAGCCCCATGCCCTGTGCTGCTGAAGACAGGAAGGACACAGACCTTCTGGAAAAGTGCGCAGGAGCTGGGCCACCCAATGTGAAACAAGAGCAAGAAGGGAACCGACTGGGGCATGGGATGAAGGGCCTTCTTGGAAGAAGGGACCAGTAGCCTGTGAGTTAAGGATTAAAGAGAGGTTACCAGGGGGGACACAAGCCTGAAAGGGTTCCTAAGAAATGGAGAAGTGGCTGTGAGAATTTTTTTTTATTGCTTTACTGAGATATAGTTAATATATTATACAAATCAGCCATTTATAAGTGGCTGATCAATTCAATACTTTTTCATAAATTTACAGAGTTGTACAACTACCACTACCAAGAGCAGAGTGTGAACAAGGGGCCAACCCTCCCTCCCTCCCTCTCTTCTCTGCTAGCTGGAACAGCCTCCCAGCTGTCCCTTCTGCTGAGGTAAGGCCTCCTGGAGGAGGCTGCATTTCAGTGGGGACTTCAGGGCCCTGCAGGGGAGCCAGAGCTGCCAGAGCCCGGGCAAGCCAGCTTTGCAGACTTGCATACCCCGGCTCATCGCAGTACCCTTCCCCCACAGTTCCACGCTCACTCCTGACATCCCTGTTCCACCCCCTTAGACTCCTCCACCCACTTTGGTGGGCCGGTCTCCTTGGCCTCCAAGGGAGGCAAGATGGACAGACAGACTGATGGAAAACTGGCCAGTGGTGGCAGGCAGTAGACCACAGGCTATGGTGGTTGAACTGAGCTG